AATTGGCCCAAAAGATCTGCTGCACAAATCGGCCATCGGCTGACCATGACCTTTACATATCGCCATTGGTATCAGCAATGGAAAAATCAATATCAGTCGACCTCTGGACAGAAGTCTTCGTCCAAGCTTGCATTAAGTTACAGGATATCTAAGGTTTTCTAAAAGCTTCGTCTAAAGGTTAACACTCTTAGATTTGAATAGAAAACTTTGCTTTTGTTTATTTTATTAATAACTTGTGTATTTTTTCTAACAGATGAAGGAAAACTGTTGCGTAAAGCCGGGCATACACTGTATGACTTTTTCACTTTTGTGAGCCGATTTTCCCCACATGTGAGAATCTGCAAGATCAGGGTGCTTGTGTAGTATACTGGAGGTTACGAGAGGCGATTAACACCATGACCAGCTACCGATCAGCAGTTGCAAGCTTGCACAAATTTCTGGCTTGTTTGATATTTTGCTCGTCCCTCGTGAGGGTATCGCGCTGTTGAAGCTGTGCTGTGGGCAGCTGCGACCCCAAAAGTACCAGAACCGCTCACGGCGCATGCACAAACACCCTATTAACACACATCGTTCGTTTTTATGTCTACATTTTTTTTTTGCACACATTGACAAGGACTGTCAAGAAAGCACGTTTGTCAAATTAAACTGATAAAACACTGATTTACTTTCTTTCGTTTTCCTCGCCCAACTTCATAAATCCCTGTGTGTGCTCCTGCAGCACTCCCGAAGGACAACAGACATCAATAACAACACAAAAGAAGTTTGGTGTGTTGTGTAAATACTATTTTTAGCAAATTTGTAGGTCTGATGTGTTGCTACCGGATGTATTGTGTGAGCAGTCTGGTCACATCCGAGAACTGGCTCGTACAGTGTGACCAGATGACTCGTGAGATTTGCTCTGCGAGGAAGTCGTACGTTTGAGCTGAAGCTGTACGCTACGAGTGAAAAAGTCGTACAGTGTCCACCCCGCTTAAGGGTCAAAATTTCCATTCTTCAAGTAAAATTTACTTTTATTCACGACAATGTTTTGTATTTACAAGATTTTTGTAATTTCTTTAAATAAATGAGAGGGAAAGCTGCAGAGTTGATTCAGAAAAAGTAATTGAGGAAGCAACAGTTGTTTCAGTTTTATGTATGGAGATTTTTAGAAGTTTCTAACATGTTTTCATCACTTGCTTTTTTTCTCCTTTCATCATCTTCATTACTTGATTCATTTTCGTATTTCTCTCGCTCGTTCTGTTTTATCCTTTTCCTTCTCTCTCTCTTTTTAATGCCATCTCTCTCTCCCCCCTTCTCTCTCTTTACTCCTCCTTTTCTCTCTCATAACTCTTCCTCGCTCTCTTTTGGTTGACAGAAGGCGTTCAAAGACACCAGTCAGTATGTGGTTGGGGAGCTGTCTGCGCTGGAGAGCGAGCAGAGGCACATCGACGCCCGAGCAGCTTGCGTGGAGAAGAGGCTGCGCTATCTCATGGACACAGGTACCCCAAGCCCAATTACACTGGAAAAACTGTTTTGGCAAATTGAGTGTACACACACACACACACACACACACACACACACACACACACACACACACACACACACACACACACACACACACACACACACACATCCATTTAGGGAGTTTGTGTGTTTGTGAGAGGGAGAATCTTTGAAGCCCTCCCCTCCTCCACCTCCCTCTCCTTCCCTCTTGGATGAATGTTGTGCGACGTAGCGCTGGGTGGATATGAAAGGAGGGGAATGGGGGAGGAGGGGTAGGGGAGGGGTGGGTGGGGAGCATGTCTCGGGGATGGGAGAAGAAGGGAGACCTCTCTGGGCTGGGGTGATAAGGGAGCCCTTCATGGGGGAAACGATAACTGGGTGCGATAGCGGAGCCCAGCCGAAGTCTCCGCTGCAGCCGTTTGCCAGCCACGGCCCCAGCCAGCCTCCCAACTATTGAACAGTGCGCTCAGCCATGCACGGATACACACACACACACACACACCCTCCTTCCCCCAGTACATATCTGGCCTTCATTGATATGCTGTATAAGGAAAAGACGGGGTGAGTTAAAGGGAGGGAAAGAGGGAGAGGCAAAGAAAAAAATACATGAGCACTGACACAGTTCACAAATCCACAACAGATACACACAGATGCTTACACACCAGCAGTGTGGTTTGGCGTTTGGAGCCGGATTCGGAAGGTTTTTATTTAAGGTTTGGCCGGGGGTAAAGCCTTGTAAGACATGAGACACTGAGCCGAGCCAAAAGAGGTGCCTTGGCTCCGTTAAGTCCCGCTCTAAAAACGGCAAATCGCTGCCCAGTCGTGATACTAAATCATCTCATTTTTCACCCAAGAATGCTTCACAGGAAAAAATCATGTTTGTTAGTAAAGTAAAATTTTGATATTTGCAAATGTTTTAAGGGTGTAGGTGAGGTAATGTGCCGGGCGCAGTGGATTTACCCTTGAAAACCCTTGGGAACAGAGGAGAGGACAGAAGAAAGGGGTTTTAAAAGAAGAGGCTGGTGTGGTGGGACGTGTGCTCACCATCCCATTTGGGTGCTGATATTGAGCCTATCTCAGTGCCATTTTGTTGTGTTTGCTTTTCACTTCCCTGCCTCTGTGCCCTCTCCCCCACTCTCAGAGCAGATGCCATTGTGTCAATCTGAAGGGCTTTATTCCTTCTTCTTCTTCTACTGTTAAAACAGCAGTTATTCACTTTCAAACACCTCCAGACGTGGAAAATACACACATACAGTCTCTTTTTGAAAATATGAATCCCCAGAAAAGGAGCGCCACAGCTACAGAAAGCTGAAGAGAAAATAAAACGGATCTAGAAATTCACCTTTCACCTCTGTTACGGCATACTAAAGGGTGCTTAAGGGAAAAAACATGTCACCTGTTGGAATGGACGAGTTTATGAAAGGTGTTCAGTTATGGTGTTGGAAACAGTTACAGATGATTTCATTTGGCATGAGTTTAAGCTTCAGAACAGCTCACTGGTCACTTGCTGTGCACAGATCATGGGGGGTTTGGTATCCTTGTAGGATTAAAACACTTTGTCTTATCCTAGTCCCTACTTATTCACCTGTGTGACTCTATACCAACTCATGAAATCTGCTCCTTTGTGTATTTGCTGCCAGTACCGATCGTGTGTCTCTGCCCACAGTAACTCAAAACTAAATCACACATATCCTCTTCTGTGCTCTGAATAATACAACTCCCAGCTGCTTAAAGACAAAGTAGTCCTTGACACTGCTATCCTGTTCCCTGCCACCGTGAACAAGATGTAAATCACACATCAGGTGTTAGGTATGAGTAAAACCCAAAAAGGTTTGTGTCTTTAGAACAATCATTACCTTTATTGTGTTTTTAGTCTTGTAAAGGTGACAGATTTTCACCTGCATCTGAAAACTCCTGAAAGCAGCGAACCTCTCCTGATGATTCTTCTTTAATCCAAACCATCACCATGTTTTTGTTTTTAGGGGGGAAAAACGTAGAAATAAATTTTCCAAATGATCCAGAAAAACATGTTTAGTTTTGATTGCTTTTGTGAATATTTTTTATCAACTAGAGGCTGGCACTCATCACACTGCTTTTTCATGCCAGGTTGAAAAAATCTGGCAGATAATCAGATTTGGTCAAATCTTTTAAATAATATTATGCTTGCTATGACTGACTCTCAGCTGCTATCCCTCAGAGTTATAGCTCAACTGTTTTCAATTGATTATCTTTTTTTTCCTCTTAAGACCGATTAGTGGTAAAGGCCATGTTGAGTTCTGTCGTTTCCAAGTTAATCAGACAAATACCCAGTGCTTAAAGGCGGAGTGGATGATGTTTTCTTTTTCTGTTCAGGCAAGCTGCTTTTTGAAAATACACAATTTAAAGTTCCAACCTCTTTTCTTCCACAACAGCTGCTCCATCATCTTAATGTTTCCCACCAAGAACAGAACCAAACTCTAAAGGTAGTTTTCCAGGAGCTCTACTCAGAGTAACTCAGACCGATGCAGGTCGGCCTGACAACTGTTCCCAAGAGCAGGGTTCAGTATTTTCCCTTTACTTTCTCCCCCATTTTTAGTTTCTACTCCATTGAGGTACCTGGCAAGAGTCGGCCTGCATCGTGATTCTGACCGCTGATTGGCTACGGGGTGGAGTCACTGGTTGCTCTGGAGTTTTCTGCCTTCTGTTTCACTGTCTGCAGCTATTTCCTGGTTCAAAGTCTGACAAAAAGCCATAAAACTGAGGAAAATCTCCAACAGCACCACCATTTTTTCAGCTGAGTTGTTTCTGTTGGGCATACAAGTAACCTTACACTGTTTACTGATCCCCTCATGTTATTTTGTCATGAATAAAAATCGCGCAACCACCCTGGAGTCTTGCAGGTCCCTCCTCTCCACTGCACCTATGAGGGGCGCACCCACCTTCTGTTACGGAATTGGTATGGGAACAAAACTCTCAGATGGGCTGACTCAAACCATGCCGCACAGCTTTTTCAGGCTGAGTAGTGCTCCTGGAAAACTAGCTTAACAGAAGTGAAAAAATGCCTCAAAACAATTTGCAAACAGAACATAACATTCTCTCTACAACACGGGCAACCCAGATCTGGCTTTGCTTCCTGTTTAGCTGCTCCAAGATGAAAATGTGCTATTCGGTTGTGCACACGGGATAGAGACATTCAGAGGACAGTTTGGTGGACGGAGTCCAGTCATTAAGACTGAGACATCCATTATTAGGAAGTTTTTCCCAGGATTGCATGTTTCAGAGTCAATTAAAATTATTATTTTTTGATAAAACATTTAATTTATCAGTTGCAATATGTAAATAGGTTAAGCAGCATTTCAATCAATGTGGCAAAAAATGCTCCATGAAAAGAATCTTGTTCTGCTCCTTTAAATACTGAAGGTTCAGTCCATTCAGCAGGTCATGAGATGTTTCACTAAAAAAACACAAACAGGCAAAATCATTGTCACTCACAATGGTTTTACTAATGTTTAATAACGTTATAACCTTGTAATGACATTAAAGTAAATAAGAGTCGTAACAGTGGAGATGAAACCTCTCATACTATCAACTAACTCTCACAAATATTTGCAGGAGGTGAACTGTTCTAATGCTGCATGTGTGAAGGACAGCGCTCCCAGAGGCGCAAGAATAACAAGTTCATTAGTGGGGGTGGGGGGGTGGGTCGCAGGAATTCAAATTCCCCCACGACCCACAACCTGGCCTCTGATTGGCTGGCTGCAGCGGCATGGCGAGACTCATTAGAGCCCAGCAGTAATTAAGAGTTGTTAGAAAGTGAATTCTCCAACCACAGATTAGAAAATTAAACTATTTACTGATTACATATTAATAGAAGACAACAATGCTGCCTGCCATAAGCTTGGAAGGCAACCAAGGAATAAATCTGTGTACTTAATTACCATAAACAATGGGGGCATAGAAATGGAGTTTTATGCACACTCCCTCCTGTAATGTGTCTGATATCAGAAGACACTTGACAATTCTTGTTCAATTATCTCTATTATTTAATGTGCTGTGAACTGCCTCTGAGTAAATAAATTAACCACCCCAATTACTTTGGACTCATCTGGGGAGGGCCTCTGTGTAATAGAAAATGCTGCAGAAAGCTGGAAGGGGGATGAGAAGTGGGGAAAAAAGAGAAGAGACGGAAGGAGAAAATGTGAGAAAAAGGATGGAGATATGGAGATTCACAGGGTAGAAATGCACAACACATAAGAATGTATTAAATGGAGAAAAATGAAGAAAGTTAATGGAAGAGTGGGTGGAAAAGCATAAGGCATGTGATGAGAAAGAAAGGAAGGCTATGAAGCAGCACCACATGCTGGATCTTCTTGGGTTTCCACTGCTGGAGAAGACAGATGAACAATCGTTCATGGGTCAGTCGCTCTTGTCTGTTCATATCTGCTCACCAGTCCTGCAGCAATGTGCACCAACAGAACACCACTGAGGTCACACAGACCTACAATCATATGATCATACACCCATCCACCCTGTTAAACAAGTTCATACATCTGGTTACATGTGGGAACATCGGAAACAGGTGAGACATTTTAACAAAACCGTTAATTGTGTCAAATCAGACCCACTAATAAAACATCCGTTAGGATGTTAGAAAATGGTTTATAAGCCTATCTGTCTGTGCTTCTAGCATCCAGCTCATCCAGCTGGATTCCTACTACAGATCTGACTTTAATGTCTGTGTGTGTGTGGCCAATTTTAATGAGTCTGTCAAGTTCAGCCAACATTAAGAGGGGTTAAAACTCACTAAAAATGACAGATGCAGAGTTAAAACTTGGTGTTGTTGTGGCTGAAAGTAATTCACAACACAACTCTGGTCTCTTAACAGATCATATTTTAAGAATCTGACTTCAACTGATTGACTTTCGTAGTCAACCCAACTCAAGATGGCCACCACAGCTCAGCCGACACAAAATTGGCTGCGACTCTTATCAGTTTTACAAATGTTGACTTAAAATTT